CTCTCCTCTCTCCTCTGCCCCCAGCGCTCTCCTCTCTCCTCTGCCCCCCGCGCTCTCCTCTCTCCTCTCTCCTCTCTCCTCTCTCCACGATCGCGAACGCTTGCAGCAGGAGAGTGGCGGCGCGGGGACGACGGGAACCCACTGCGCGCCGAGCTGTAACGGATTCTCCTGCCCCCCCCCCCGTCAGCCTGCTCGCCATCCACTCTCCTACCCCTTCGCAGTTGTAATCAGTGTCAACACCACTGCGCGCCGAGCCGCCCTCATTACGTTACGCTTATTAGCCTCCTCGATCTCCAAAACCCATCATTCCCATCATTCCGCGAGGTCCATGGCCCTCGCTCCACTACTCTCCGCGAGAGATCCACTACGACACATTCGAAAAGAGTCCACACCAAGACATTCGAATTTATTCACCCCGATCTCTCACGCAGAGTAGTGCAACCGAACATATCCAAAATGTTGGATCCGTTGGAATGTATCTGGGCAACAAAACGTGTTACGTACATGTCGCATGTTGACTAATGGATCCATGCCCAGAGTCTCGTAGGCGACAGAGTCCAACAGCCCCTGAACTGAACTGCTGAAATCCGCTGAGAGGTAGTGCTAATATCTCGCTCCCCGGAGCAATTTCAAGTGGAACCTCTGCTATATGGGTGGAAAGAAGTGGAGGCTCTAGGATCCGTATCCCCGGTACTGTTCTATGAAACCAGAACTGGAGTTAGGGTCCTGCAAGCTACTAGAAAGGCACAGGCGATCACAGTGGCAAGTGAAAGACTTCAAAAGGAACCTGGCTTCCAACTGGGGAACACTAATTTGTATAAACTATGGAAGGCCTTGACCAAGATTCCCTCTCAGAAACAAGCGATCATCATGTGGACACAGTCAATGTCAGTGACTGCCACTACTTCCTGGTTGGTATCAAGGGGAATGGAGATAGAGGAAAAATGCAGCAGATGTAACTGGGGGTGGGAAACGAACAGCCATTTATAGCTGTACTGCCCTTCGTCCACCCAACTCTGGGACTGGTGGAGGAATCATTGGAGGAAAATCTCAGGTGATGGGTTTCAATGGACTCATGAGTGGATAATCCAGGGCTTATGCCCTGAGGATCAAGACCTTCTGAGAGGGTGGGGATATATAGCCATGGTCTGTAGAGGCGTGGCAATGGATGTGATTTGGAATGCCAGGAACAACCTACTCTTTAGAAAGGAGTCTCAGGCCTTCGCTGAGCAAACAAACAGGTTTCTCACATTATTACGACAAAACATTTATGCAGACTGGCAGAGTGTCAAGCATCACGGAAAGTGAAGTATGCTGTGGTTCCAGAACACATGGGCATTGGAAGGTAGACTCGCGTCTATTACAGCAGAAGGCAAGCTCTCACTCACCCCTTGGTTGTTACAAGGAAGAGTAGAGCAAAATATAGGACCGAATTAGGTCCATAGGAGGATTAGGTGAAGCGTGGAAGGTGGAAATAAGCTCTATACAACTGAGCTTTCCGGGGGATCGCCGGTAGATTGTAGGCTTTTAATGAATTATTTGTGTATTGTTAAGTTTGTTTTGTGGAGGTGTTATTTAAGTAGTATGAGTCAGGAAGATGATAGATTTACGAGTGGAAATGTTGAATCAGTCGTTGTATTAGGAGATTTTCTGTTTTACACAGGCTAGATCATGGTTGTCTGTAGCAATATTCGGATTTCTGCAGGACAGGGTATGGAGTGTTTGGCAGTAGCTGGGCCCTCATTGGTAGGTTTGTCTAGCTAATAGCAGCTGGAGGTAGGACTGAGTAGGTAATGGGGTCAAGACTGATGCTGCCGGGATAACCCGGGTGGAATTGTGAGGTCCCCGGCCTCGAACCTTGGCATTTTAATAGAATAGTTAGTAAAAAAAAAAAAAAAAAAAAAAAAAAAAAAAAAAAAAAAAAACTACAAACCTTTTTTTTATTAAACCACCAGTACCATTGACGGTTCGAAAATACTGGTGGTCTTGATTTGGCCATTCTGCCACTAGACCCCAGTGTCCCAAGGCCTGCACCTAAGCTGGGTAATGGTCCCAGTGTTATTTGTTTTGTTCCGGGTTGTTTGTTGTGGTTTTCCCGGCCTCTTTTCTTTTGTGTGGTAATAAAAATGAGCAGAGTCTCCTATTTAAAAAAAAAAAAAAAAAAAAAAAAAAAAAAAAAAAAAAAAAAACTGGTGGTTTAAAAAAAAAAAACAAAAAAAAAACAACACTACAATCCTGCTTTCCTTTTCTTTTTTTTCCGCCTTCTCATCGCGGGGGACAGCCATATATATTTTTTCCCTCAGCTCTCATAGGGCCTAACTGCACTACTCTCGACATGCACAACACACAAAAATCATGGTGGTGCATCTTTCCATGTTCTAGCGGAAGATTCACTCTCGTTTTGCACACTCATGGAACAGTTCTCAGGTCATAGCCACACCACTCTCGAACTGTGAAAAATGAGAACGAACTTCGTGCTAGAACATGGCCAGATGCACCCGCCACATTTTTGTCTTTTTCACATTTCGAGAGTGGTGTGGCGAGGCCCTTAGAGGCTCGCCGCACAGGCTGTCTTTTTTTTTTTTTTTTTCTTAGAGAAACTCAATTCGTTTTATTTCAGAAGAGGAACAGGGGCCCGGGAACACACCCCACAAAACAACCCGGTACAAATACATGCTCGGGCCCTTACCCAGCTGTAGGCTCAGGGAAACTGTGTCCGCTGTCCCTCTACTAAACTGTTCTCTAAAAAATAAAAGAAAAAAGGAAGCCTCTGAGAGGCAGATCTTCAAACTTGCTCTTTGAACTTTATTGGTTCTTATATTGTAGCCACCACAGCCACCTGCGCCTGTACCATTTCTAGTTGTCCTCATCAAGGAGGAGAGCTAAAGCGCTCTCCATGCCCTGTTGGGGAGAGTAGCAAGGGCGAGAAGCATAACCTGCACAGGCTGTCGAAAACCACGTTTTCGACAAATTTTTTTTTATTCTTTATACACTATGGGCCTCGCTGCACTACACTCGAAAGGTGCAAAACGAGAGTGAATCTCCCCTAGAACATGAAAGATACAGCGACATGATTTTTGTCTTTTGTGCATTTCAAGAGTAGTGCAGCGAGGCCCTATATCTTCTTCTCTCAAATTCTTTTTCGCCTTTTTCGCCTATCACTACCTTGCATGGCCACACAGACTTTCGATCGATCCAAGAATTGGGGCTCAAAAAATTTCGACATGTGTCATAATTGTACGCTCGACAGCCACCCTCCCCTTGTTTCCTCCCACCTGCAGGGGCGAGGTCCCACTAGCATAGCAAAGAGGATAGGATCAAGCTCCTGAATCTGGATGTGTTTTACGCAGAGGTGCAGAAAAGCAGTTCAATCTCGATATCCTGCTCCTGTCCACAATTACGTCCAGATTCAGGCATTCGATCCGATCGTCTTTGCTGGTGGGGCCGCGCCCCAGGAGACGGACGGTCGAAAGCGCCGCACCTGCCTTTCGAGAATCGCTTTCGAATTTGCATTGCATTGTCAGGGACTGTTCTGTGACGGCCGTGCCCTGTGGAAAGGCAGGCGGAGTCCAGTTGGCCATGACCAAAAACGTTGCCCCTCTACAGCCTGTGTGGAGAAGGAGGGGGTAAACTGTCCACAAAAACGTTGCCCCTCTACAGCCTGTGTGGCGAAGGAGGGGGTAAACTGTCCACCGCCGACTTTCTTTTCTTTTTTTTTTTTTTTTCGAGAAAGAAGAAACACTTGATTGCTCATGAAAAAGAGTATTGAGGCCGGGTCCTCACAATATCCCGGAAGGGTAGCCCAAAAGAGAACCAACAAAAGGAAAAACCCCAAAGAAAAGAACCCCCTCCCTGTCCGAACTAGTCTGATCTATTCTCTGTCAATCTGGCTAGTCTGTACCACAGGGAGTCCCTTATTCAAAACCAAAACCAAAATAATGTTGTCCCCCGACGAGAAAAAAAAAAGGGGGGGGGATCAAAAACCCATAAACCTATCGACTCGCTCCTTCTATCTACCATGGCCTTTCTTAAAGACCAAAATAAAACAAAAACCCCGGAGACTCTAATACCAAGTTTCGGAGCTAAAAGTCGCTCCTATATCTGTTACTACCCGGGGCATCCGAGTCATGAAGAACTACCTCAGTTATCCCCCCCCTAGTACAGGAAACACTCCCTCCTCTACCCCAAAAAAAAAAAGAAAATTCCCCTTTTCTGCAGTCCTACTGCGGACTTGAAGCAACCGAGTGTTTCAGGTTGGGTCTCCATGCAGGAACCAAGGTGCCAGGGCCATTTTTCCCTGTAGTTTGATCTGCACCAGAATACCTCTCTGTGCCCATGTTCAGCTGAACCATCTGTATCTTCGTCTTCCCTGTTTCTTCCCCCTCACCTTGCGGGCCCAGTCCACCATGACCGCTGTGCGTAGTTGGGAACGTACTTGAAATTGGCGATGTTGCAAGGATACCTCTTCTTCCCTAAAGACTCTGGCATTGCGGCCCTGCCACAGAACCCAGAGGAGAATCGCTCTTGCTACCTGGGCTAAATAGCCCCATCCCTTCCCACTGATGAGTGATGCCGGTAGCCGGCCTGTCAAAATCCATGTCTCGTCCCAGGGTAGTACTCCATTGGTCCATTTCTGCCATTGTGTCCTCCACCACTCCCAGAGTTGCTGTGCTACTGTGCACTCCACAAAGATGTGCCGTGCCGTTTCCATCTCCCCTCCGCACTGTTGGCATAGAGTCTCCACTTCCATTCCTCGTTCCCACAGCCAGTTAGTTGCGGGGACGATTCCTCGTGAAAGCATCCACAGTAGACCTGCTTGCTTCCTTGCTGGTAGCAATTGCAGCTGGTCCCAGAGCTCTCTGAGGTGACTCTCCTGCGCCCCTTCAGGCAGGTCCAAGGAGATCTTCAGTTTCTGCCAGGTTCGGTTCTCTGCATCCAGCGGTTTCCTTAAGTGGCTTACTCCAAATTTTGGCGCGTAAGATGCCTGGGTAGGTGCTTCCCTTGACTGTGGATTTCTCCTCCATTTTCTCCCCTGTGGGTCCATACGCATTTCTTCTACACCTCTGCCCCCGCATAGCAGGAGAGTCGGCTTTCCTCTTTTCCATTTTGGCGGGAGTTCGACTCTTACTTGTTCCCGTAAGTCTTCTACGCTCCGTGCAGTCGTCTGTTCATATGAGATGAGACTCTCCCCTTCTTCCCTTCTTGTCCACTCTTCCACTATCACCATATCCTCTTCCTCCGAGATTACCCGGCCAAACCGATTGATCTGCCCTTCCTCCTGTGTTATCCGGTACCATGTGCCCTCTTTTACTCCCCCCTGTTGCAGCATTGCTTTCCATTCGTCTGGGATTGCTTCCACCAGATCCCCCAGTCTCGGTCCCACCATACGTAATCTTCCCAACTTTTCCCTCAATTGTGTTTCCTCCTTCCATTGGTTCTTATCTTTGTCCCATATATCCCCAATCGTCACCACCCCTCGCTCAATCCATTTTCTTCCATAGCATCCCTTTGCATTGGTGGCTTGAAGGGGGTCTCCTGCCAGATCCCGTATCCTGACATTGTCGAAGAGGTTCTGTCTCAGCACTGTAGTTTTAGAGTCTACAATCACCTGTTCCGGTTTCAGTTTGCGCCATGCCCTCAGTATTCCTGACCAAACCTGGGAAGATGAGCCTCTACGGAGGTAGGAATCCATATGAACGCAGATCCATACATCTTCCTCCCTGGTCAGCCCCCAATCGTTCTTGAGGATATATCCTGCCAGAACCACCCACTCCCTTTCGTCTTCCATCGTGGCCACCCGGGTAATCCACTTGCCCAGCATTGCCAGATTGTAGCTTGCTGGATCCGTGATGTTCAGCCCCCCTTGTGAATGTAAGTTTGTCACCTTTTGCCAGGCCAGTTTCGAGAATCCTTTGCCTTCTCTTTTCCCAGGACTCCATAGGTATCTCGCTGCTAAGCCCACAATTTTTGAAAGAGTGGATTTTTATGAGAGTCGGATTGCGAAAATAAACCAGAGGAGAGAGAAAATAGAGGTGTTTAGCACCAGGGCCCGCCCGAACAGTGACATAGTGTACGATGCCTGACATCTCTCGATTGTCGCTGTGACCTTACCTAGTATAATGGCGTATTGAGATTGCTGACAGTTTCCTAGTGAGACCTGTATTCCTAGGTAACGGTCTGCTACTGTACCTTGGATCCTCCTCATCCCCCATTCCGCTTGGAGATCGTAGGGACTTGGTAGAAAGAAAATAGATTTGTCCCAGTTCACTCTTGTTTCCGACAGCTAACAGTAGTCGTCGATCACACTCTTCAGTGCTACCAAAGATTCTTCCGTATTTTGACAGATTGCTAACAGGTCATCCGCTATCGCTCCGGTTATAGCCTGTAATTGGGGCCGAATTGTGAGTCCCACGATCTGTGGTTGTTTCCTGATGGCATTTAGCAGTACCTCCATTTGTACTACAAACAGTAAAGGGGCGAGCGAACATCCTTGACGCAGAGAGCGCGTAAGAGTGATCTCATTAGATAGCGTGTCATTGATCAGAACCGTTGCCGTTAAAAAGGAGTACATTACGGTCACCCACCGTATGAAATCTGGGCCAAAGTTCATCCCCTCCAATGTAGCCTGAACGAAGGTCCAGTTGACCCTATCGTACGCTTTCTCCAAGTCTAAGATTATAATGGCCACGTCCCGTTCCTCCTTCCCCACTATCTCCAAAGCCTCTATGACCAACATTATATTGTCCATAATGGATCGCCCTTTCACAAAGGCGCCCTGGTCAGTTGCCACTAGGTGGGGAAGGTGGGGGGCTAATCTGACAGCAAGGGCTTTAGCGAAGATCTTGTATGAAACATTCAATAGCGAGATGAGACGGTAACTCCTGATGTTTATGATATCCCCCTTCTTATACAAAAGCGTGATTATACCTCTAGACATATCTGTCGTCAATCTACCTCCTGTCAGAATACCATTGTAGACGCTCAATTGGGGGGGGCTACCTGCTCCCACACGACCTCAAAGTATTCTACAGGCAAACCATCGTCCCCTGGACACTTCCCTTTTGCTAGGAGTTTTCTGGCCATCGTTAGTTCCTCCATAGGTAGAGGTCTGTCTAAAAGCAGTCTGTCTGACATTGTAAGAGAAACCGTAGTATTTGCCCATATATTCTTTTCTTCCCGCATTTCCTCCAGAGATTCTTCGGGTGCTCTGCGGGATGTTAGGATACCCTCAAAATACTTTTGTGCGTATCTACTTATTTGTTCTGTTTCAGTTGCAATGTCTACCTGTGCCAGAAAAGGGTGACTGAGTTCCGTAAAAGTGGTATGGTGTCTTGGGGGAAGGAGGCGCTTGAAGGCCTCTTTCGACAGTCTGTCCGCTTGTAGCATGCCCCTTGCCCTTGCTCTTTGCGCCCAAACTTCCTGTTTCCTCAGGCTCACCTGGAGTTTCTCCCATCTCCCTAACCATCGGTCCCGTACGTGTTCCCAGTATGCGTCCGAGATGGCGTGCTCTCTCACATGTGTCTCTGCTTCCTTCACTTTCCCTTTGCATAGATCCTCCTCTCTATTCCTTCCCCTTGCCAGGATCTTAGAAAAAATGTCCAGTGCCCTGGTTGTTATTCTGAACCCTGCCTGTAACCATCCACCCTGCGTATGGAAGTTTCCCCTGGCTCCCTCCCAATCCTGCCAATGTTTCACACACCACTCTCTTACCGCCGGGATCCGCAAGTTATCGAAATTTAACCAAAAAATTCCCTTCCCTCTCTGCAACTTTGATGATATATTGAACACTGTCACGACCGGCTTGTGGTCTGAGAGTGGGGGGGGGGATTTTTCTACCTCTATGAGCGAGTCCCATGCCTCCTTCCGGACTAGAAAGAAATCCAACCGTCTGCAGGGGGAAGGGCAGTCCGAGAAACTCTGACTGGAAAACCAAGTGAAACCCGGTTCCAGCGGATGCAGCGTATGGTATGGGTCCACTAGTCCCTGCCCTTCTATGAAACTAAGCAGGTCGGTGGTATCTGTTCTGGCATTCCAGTATTCATGTGAGTCCAGGCTTGGACTTAGGACTCTATTCCAGTCGCCCCCAATTATCAGGTTCTCCACTTCCGGGATTAGGGACTGCAGTTCTGAGAAAAATGAGATCCGTTCACCATATTCCGATGGGGCATACACAGACATTACTGCCCATTCTTTACCTTCGAACTCAAAGGAGACCCAGACCCACCTACCCCATAAATCTTCCACCGCCGACTTTCAATTTTTTTCTGACAGCAAAAAGAGTTTCGACAGCCTGTGTGGGGACTGTGGCAACATCTTAGGGCGTCGCCACACCAGTGTCGAAACCGTGAAATAAAGGCCGTCCTGTCAGACCATTTTCGACATTCACGATTTTTAAACAAAGACTGCCTTCCTTTTTTCCAGTTGTTATTTATTGTCACTACCTCCATATGGGCCTGGTCACACCAGTGGCGAAAACCCGTTTTTCACCAGTTTGGCGTCGCCCCACAGACTAGCGAACGGGGAAGTGTCAGAAAACACTCGCCAACTGTCAGAGAGGGCGGTTCTCCAGCTGATGTCGAGTACCGGTTTCCCCCAACCTGCGGCGAGCGGATTCTCGGTAGGTCCTTCGCGGGCTATCGGGTGCGAACACATTTTTGCCACCTGTCAGGGTCACGGCGCTGACAGCAGCGTTCCTAACGGCGACACCGTTTTGCTAGGTGGTGTCAACCGCCACCAGTGGTGCGAAACGTCAGGCAGACACCGAACGCGTTCCCGGACATTCCTCGCCGCTGTAGAGGAGAGACCAGGAGCAGTTCGTGGCCCAATTGGGTCGAATGGGGGGCACCTGCGCTGCTGCGCACAGCCTTCGCAGAGAGGCGGGGCATGTCGACGACCGAGATTGGATGCGAGGTGGGTCCACAGTTGGCGACGAGCAGATTTTTTCAAGTGCGGCGCAGGCGGGCCTGGCCCCCATCCACCCAAGGTAGCTTCGTCCCCCTCCTGCCACCCCGCCCCACGCCCCTCCCCGCCCCACTGCCTGTGGCAGCATCTCATTCAATGGGGCGCCGAATGGGAACTCGTCCACGTCGGACTTTGGCGCGCACAGGCATAACGGGTGCCATGTCCACGACGTCATCGTCTTGTCTGTCCTCCCATGTGTGGCTCGCTCGTTTGGAGGATGCGCGGAGTAGGTCGAAAGAGAAGTCGTCGTCGTGTACGTTGTCGACGAGAGCGATCTGCGGGGTGTGTTTGTGCATCTCCTTCCCATCGTGCCTCACAAGCCGGGTCGTCATGCGGTGGGCATATTTTCTCCATGGCATGGCGCAAAACGGGGAGGGGGGGGGGGGGGGGGGGGGGGGGGGGGGGGGGGGGGGGGGAGGCAGGTGTGCAGGAACGGGAGTGTGTTGTTGGCTTCTGTGGGCTGGTTGGAGGAGGCCGACTGGAGATACGTGTGGTGCAGCTATCAAGATATTCCATATGTAAGGAGGTGGAGATGGCTTGTCCGACCATTGGTTTCGAGTGCGTTACAGGAAGAGCACGCTTGGTGGGGGGAGTCCTTGCGCTTTTTCGCATTGATTGTCGGACGTGAGCCATCATTCGTGCGGCAGATCTTAGAGGGCCGTGCTGCGTGGTTAGCCGGAGAAGATTCTCATGTCCTTCGGCTTTTCATCTGGGATGGATCTCTTCAGCGCTGCGCTGTCCTATCAGAACGAAGGAGACGCTTCATCTCGTCCTCCATCGCGTGCTGTAGGCGACCGTAGAGGGTTCAACATGAATGTCAACGCGAGAACAGAGCAGGCCCCTGAAGTGCCATATCCGGCGGTGCAACCATGGCGCCACAATCCTCTGCTGCCGGACGTGCCGCAGGACGGCGGCATTGAAACTCCAGCCAGCCAGCCTCGTCGGCGGTTCAAGGAGCGGATGATGGACGACTCCCAATCGCCGAGCGGTGGTTCGTGTGTGACAGGGGATACCTAGCCTGTCATGGACTGAGGATCAACCTCCATGTCCGCCAGCTTCGCAACTGGAGACTCCGGTATGTATTACGGAGGCTTCCCCGACAACGCCGTCTACGCCGCTGCACAATATGAGTTTCAACCTCCGGGAACGGTGTCGGGATGTCGAGCGGTCACGATCAGGTTGGGATGCCTCCTATGCGGCCCGCCTATCAAGCAATGAGATTCGCGAACATGAGGGGCAGGCACGATATCCGGGTGGTGGGTGTTGGTCCCGCTGGTGTCGCGCTCCCATCGCTGAGGCAGAATGGCTGCACACATCTAGATGTGTATAAGAGACAGGCGATAATGACCGTGCGTTCTATTCAGGTACCGTCATTGCAGTTGCTTCATTCGCAGCAACTTTCAGTCTAGATACAGACGATACTGACCGTGCGTTCTATTCAGGTGGGAGATGGTAGGCTACCATACGTGCACCGTACGATCTGACCGTGCGTTCTATTCAGGTACGGTCATTCCNGGGGGGGGGGGGGGCATCCACACGCAAACATACTTGCACAGTTCGTACCTTCTGTCGGCCACGAACAGGGGGGGGTGATTGGAGGTGTCACTCAACAGAGAGGGGACTGCAGTGCGGTTGTCGGCGCTACAGGTCTTGCGCCCGACCACGGGGAGTCGGTGACAGATGTCCACGTGGCCGATGTGACAGACGCAGCAGTCACCAAGGACAGTTGCGTCAGTCGCGGGAGAAGGCCAACCAATGGCGGGAGCGGGAGGAGCCGTGCTACAGGGGCGTCCGCGAAGAAACGAACAAGAGGTACCGGGAGTGTAGCGTCAACTCCGCCAACGGGGTCTAAAAACGGGCAGCTTCTAATTGCAGCGATGGCGCCACCGGTGGTGCCGATTCGTCGCCGACTTCTTCGCCAAAAGATCTCTCCCAGAACGGCGGTCGGAGGAATGTGTGGACAATGG